AATGTTTTTATATATGTTGGAAGCTGTCCAGAGTGACTGGGGCAACCCAGCCAGATGGGCAAGGTATAAATAGTAAAAATGTTGCTATGGAATAGGACGTCCCTATTTTCATTGGAGAACTGTTGGAGGATATGATATGATGCTCTGAGAAGCACATTTTAGTCTGCAAAGCCTATAGTATAAATGCAGCCATTTATAAATGCAGAAGGAGGCAAGGCACAGAAGTCTTGCTTTCTAAGAGTGATTTGATTCATTCCAAATAAGAGGTTCATCCATTTGGATTTTGCTTCAGCCCTGCTTTCGTTTTATGCCCTGCCAGTGAAATGGCAGTGGTTGAACTTTATTAGCAGTGAAATTATGGATGTGATATTACAATGCCCTAGGGCAGCCACTCAGAGGCATGACTGTCTAATATTTAATTATATTTAACACACATCCAAATTGCCCTTGAGTTGCAAAAGGATGTAAAAAACTCACCAACACCCACCGTTTCACTTTAACTTGAAAGTAGAAGTATTTTTGATTCCAGCACATGTTTGCTTATGAAAGGTCTCCTTGGCTGAAGTATCATATAAAGATTCTGTAAGTAATTTTATTAGAAAATTATAAGCCCCTGTAAAGAAGGTGTGAAATGAAAATATCAACAGCTGTGCTCATTCACAAATGCATCATACCCTTTAAACAAAATGCATAGCCAGGAAATCGCACAAGTTCCAGACTTCCAAAAGCAAACAAAAACATCCAGGGGAAAAAGTCATATTTTCTCTAGAAGTATTAGTGCTACTTTAGAACTCCCAGTTTTGAAGACCTAGAAGAAACTGGGTGTGTTGCTAGATTATTGTACAGTATCTTTCCAGAGCTACAACATAACAAATCATCTGAAAGGAGGGTGGTCACTCATGCAGTGCCAAAAAAGAGGAAATGTATCAGCAAAAAGATTGGCATAAAATGTGCATATGCTGATATATATGTATAGATGAAGATTTTGAAATAATCACAATAATTTAAATAGAAATAAAATACATCTTACCTTGGTGGGGGAGATAATGGCTAAGTAATGGACACTCGCCGCTTCCCTGGGGGGCATCGGTTGCGGACCTTCACTCTCCAGCATGGCGTAGTGGTTAAACACGGTGGACTCGTAATCTGGTGAACTGGGTTCGCTTCCCCGCTCCTCCACATGCAGCTGCTGGGTGACCTTGGGCCAGTCACACTTCTTTGAAGTCTCTCAGCCCCACTCACCTCACAGAGTGTTTGTTGTGGGGGAGGAAGGGAAAGGAGAATGTTAGCTGCTTTGAGACTCCTTAAGAGGAGTGATAGGCGGGATATCAAGTCCAAACTCTTTTCCTTCTCCTTCTCCTTCCCAGCCAGCTAGACTCGGATGGTCGCCAGCCGATGGGGAATTCCCCTCAGTCATCCTGACCATGGGGTGATACCTCCCAGCCATTAGCCAGTTTCAAATGGGCCAATCAGGGCCGAGGTCTGGGGGACTTCCTTTTCTGGCCAGCCAGGCATTGGCCACAGCCAATGGCTGGGTGATCTGCCTGTCTGTCCAGACTGCTGCTCAGGTGCTAACTTTGAGAGGGCAACTTCCTCAAGGGCCCAGCTCTCCATTCTTATGGTCTGTTGCCTTTAAACTGGCCTCAGATTGAACAACGCTTCAAACAGAGTACTGTTCTCCTACATCCTATATACAGGACTTTCTTCTGTAAAGTGGACTCTATGACCAGCTTACCTGAAAGGCTATTAATCTGGGAAACATTTTGTTGTAATATGAATTCTGACCTGACTTCCACTGTGAACCTTTTCTGACGCATGAATGTGCAGCTTGCCTCCCCTATCATAGTACTGATGGAAATCTCCTCTGTACCAATGCAATATTTTTTTAAGACCTAAGCCTAGGGGCAGACCTTTGTGATATGCCGCCCTATGCCTGGGTCCTAGAGCCCTCCTTCCTCCCGGTAAGGACTTGCCTGGCTTTGGGAAGGAGGCAGGATAATTCTTATTAGATTTCTCCAAAGTTTCCCAAATTGATTTCACATCAAATAATTGTATTGTTTCATATATTGACTTCCCACCCTCACATCTGCAGCGTTTGTGAACAAAACCCTTTTCTACTACATTACGTATCAGACTCTTATATCAATTACAAAAAAGACCCTCCAGTACAATTATTTTATCAGCTATTTTCCACTGATCCAATCTCAAATCCTGCCTGCGATTTATAATAATAATATAATTATTTATTATTTATACCTCACCCATCTGGCTGGGTTTCCCCAGACACTCTGGGCAGCTCCCAACAGAATATTAAAAATACAATAAAACACCAAACATTAACAACTTCCCCAATCAGGGTTGCCTTCAGATGTCTTCTAAAAGCCAGGTAGTTGTTTATTTCCTTGACATCTGATGGGAGGGCATTCCACAGGGCGGGAGCCACTACCGAGGAGGCCCTCTGCCTGGTTCCCTGTAGCTTCACTTCTCGCAGGGAGGAAACCACCAGAAGGCCCTCGGAGCTGGACCTCAGTGTCTGGGCTGAACAATGGGGGTGCAGATGCTCCTTCAGGTCTACTGGGCTGACGCCATTTAGGGCTTTAAAGGTCAGCACCAACACTTTGAATTGTGCTTGGAAATGTACTGGGAGCCAATGTAGATTTCATTTGACTACAATACTTATTACTTAATAGACTATTAATACTTAATAGTCAAGAAAGGCCTCCATTCTTCTATAAAAAGTTCATCATTTCTATCTCTCAATACTGCTGTCGGCTTCGCCATTTCCGTAGAGTCCATTGCTTTCAAATGGACCCTGCCAGAGCTCCCACACCTTGTTCCTGAAGCCAGGCAAGGGCTTCCTGGGCTTTGAGAAGGCACCCTCCTCGGCTGCATGCTTGCTGCGACTGCACTGCTTGCACTGCCCTAAATTCACCTCTGTTAGAGGTTTAAAGGTAAAGGTACCCCTGACTGTTAGGTCCAGTCGCGGACGACTCTGGGGTTGCGGGCTCATCTTGCTCTATAGGTCGAGGGATCCGGCGTTTGTCCACAGACAGCTTCCGGGTCATGTGGCCAGCATGACTAAGCCGTTTCTGGCAAACCAGAGCAGTGCACGGAAACGCCGTTTACCTTCCCGCCGGAGCGGTACCTATTTGTCTACTTGTACTTCATGCTTTCAAACTGCTAGGTGGGCAGGAGCTGGGACTGAGCAACAGGAGCTCACCCTGTTGCGGGGATTCGAACCACCAACCTTCTGATCGGCAAGCCCTAAGCTCAGTGGTTTAGACCACAGCACCACCCGTTTCCCTCTGCTAAACCTGAGAAATTTTCACTGAGATAATGGAGGGGGAGGGGCACCCAGCTTGGTCAAGGCTCCCAGCAACGGTGCCACTGCCTCTTACTGGGATGAGGACGAAAAGGGTGGCATGGGGGCATCAGCAACGCCAATCCAGTGCTCCCACTGGTGCTTCCACACTGCTTCAAATTGGTTGCTACCCAATCCCAGCCCCATACCATACCAGTAATTGGTGATGCTCTTGCCGCCAGTACCCCAGACCAGCCAGCTCCTCCTGCCTCCTCACCCACTGCAGTAGAACCAGGACCCAAAATTTGCTTGTTTATTTATTGAACTGATATACTGCCCTGTACCCGCAGGTCTCGGGGCAATTCACAGGATACAATCGGAATATAAAACCACAAAGCACATAACCAAAATAAAAACAGCAACAGGATGCAATTGGTGTTGATGCAATTGGTTTCCCATGAAGTCAGACTTGTAATCTGTAAGAGGAGCCAAATAGCATTGAGGATTTTTTCCCTTTTTCTTTTTTCAAGTGTATTAGAGCATCTCTCTATTACAGAAAATGGAACCAGGCCACCAATCCGTCTCCTTAATGAACTATACAACAGCTGTTGCACCGAAAAGATTTTTGGTCAAACAAATAGTTTGACAGGCTGCAACAACTGGCAGAAAACAACACAGGTCTTAACTTGGCAGGGAATCTGAGGGCAGGTGATAGCTGACAAAAAAAGAATGGCAGATGGATTTTCACTCTGGCTGATCCTCATATGAGACAGATTCTCCAGCATCCTTCAACAGCTTGTTGAATGCCGTTCGGCATACTGAAAGCTGGTTTTACTCAATCTTAGCACCTCGTGGCAGATTATTGTAACCTAGAGATACATACCAGAGGTAACGTGCCAGAGACATTCGAAAGATCTGAACTTGGCACACTTGGGGCAAATCAATTTGTTCGGATTCATTCATTCGGCAGGACTTTGTCCTCACATTTGACACTGATAATAAGTGGTAATAAGCTACTTCTTTCACTCAACACAAAATCAGAACAACTGGCTATTTATGGGTGAACACAGCCCTACTCCAGCCAAATTCATAGCATCTGAATTCTCCCCCCTAAGAAATGCAGGAAAGCTATTTGAAAATGGGTGGATTCTTTAAAAAAAGGAAAGTCACTGTTCAAGAACCAATAGGCAGCTCAGTATTTATCTTACTGATATTTGAAATTCCATTTGCACTACAAAAACATAAAGTAACTAAAAGAGTTGGAAATAAAACAAGCCAAGAAATGCAGCGCCAAAAAATTAAATAAGAATAGATGCAAAAATGTGAATAGAATACCTCCCACCCAGAATAAAATAACTATATTGAGGGAAAAACATTGTTGAATGGACCCTGGCTTTCTAGATTATCTTTTCATACTACTTTTCATTGGTTTTACCATTCCAAATGCAATAGTGATGAACACCATGACAGTGGCAATCAAATGTAACTGTTTCAATAAATGATAGGTGATGATGGTGCCTAGGGAGCAGAAAGCATTCTAGGTGATACCTACAAGAGATAGAACAATGAAAAGATCTTAGAGCAAACTCATTTAGTTGAATTGCCAGATCATAGCAGATGGTAAGATCTGAAGGGAGACAAGCATAAAGGATTTAAAAGCAATCCTTTTATTCTTTCAGGTTTTAAAGACCCGGCGCTGCAGAAAACTCTTGACAAGTACATCGAAACTGTTGCAGTGGCGATGTTTGACAACAATAAAATAAGTCTGTATCGGGCAGATGACATGTAGAGCAGAGATAATGGAAAGCTCTGAAGCCTCTGCAGGTTCCCTTTAAAGTCAGATGGTTGCAAATGCCGCACAGAAATGATATTTTAAAAGACAACAGGTGAGTGGTGTGGCAAAGCATCAAGTGCAATGCTGAAATAGCAACACCTGGCAGGTAAGCCAATAAGCCATATGGAAGAACTAGGTCATTCTCTATTTTATGGCAATTGGCCCCAAGTGTATATTTTCTGGAATTCTACAGTGATGAGTTATTTTAAATCATCTTCTCTAATACCATGAGTGCCTACCAGTTTAGAATTCAAATGCAGGGCGATCAAAAACAAAGGCTGCAATTTCTACATATTTGGCAGACTCCCTAGTATGGAGAAGGTGCTTGGAAATTAGAAGTATTTTTAAAAATTTGTAAATTGAAAGTTCTTTTATTAAAAAAGGAAACAACTGCTTAAATGGCCATGTGCACTTCCAAAACCTGCAAACGTCCAGGACTTATGAAATAGGGACAGGGAAATGGTTAGAGTGACTCGTCTAATTGAAAAAGGAAGCTTTGGAATTCTGTATCTGTTTTCACTGAAACCCTTTGTTTTTCGAAAGGAGGTGGAATGTAGTAAATGCCTTTAGCTCAGTTGGTAGAGCAGGTGACGCTTAATCTATGGTTACCAGATTTTTTTCAATGAATCCGGGGACACTTTTTTTTTTTTTGAAGCTGAGTAGCAACAGGGAGTCAGTACTGGGGATGTTGAGGCAGAAGACCCTGGGCCCAAGCACACATGCATATTGTATAAAGGTGCAAAGCCCTTCTTTCACACCTGGTGAAACATAAATGCACAGTTTTTTAAAAAACTGGGCAACGGCACACCGCACACCTGTGACTCCCGAGCCTTCCCCAATCTCCTTCCCCCTTCTGCCTTTGTTTTGACAGATCAGGGGAGGCTCGGGAGTCACAGGCAGGCGGGCGGCCATTGCCCAGGAGGGGCCAGCCTGGTAGTGCAGTTGGCTCTGGTAGTGCAGTGGCCACGGCAGCGAGAAGCTCCTGAAGCCAGCCAGAGCGAACTGCGCTAACAGGCTGGCTCCGGGCTGCTGAGGCTGCCGCTGCCACATTTCCCGGGGACAGATTTGCAAATCTGGGGACATTCCAGGGACGGAATTTGTCCGGGGACAGATTTGCTAATCTGGGGACTGTCCCCGGCAACCGGGGACATCTGGTAACTCTAGGTTAGTGGAAACATGAGCTCCATGCCAGCTGAAAGATGTCAGAGAGACAACTCTGACCAAACCATACACACACACACCCTGCAGCCTGTTGAAAAAAGGATTTGGATTGCTCTGTTAAGCGACGGAAGTGAATATGAGATAAAGACTGGAGGGCCCTGGAAAAAAAAAAAGCATGTTGCTGCTACTCAGCTGCATATTTGAAAGCGTTTCATTTTAGTTTCTCAGCACAGTTAAGCATAGTAATTGAAAATGTTCATGCCATCACAGTGCTAATGCAGTTCCATTGTACATCCACATATTTGGCTTGAATACGATTAAATTATTAGCTATAACAGTCTTTCGATGCTGTTTTGAGTGTGGCACTTTAATCCAGAACATAATGCAAATCCTCGACATATTTTGTTGTTGTTGAAAGAAGCAAAGTAAGAAAAAGGGGGGGAAAGATATACACATTCTCATCTCTCAAGGCTAATGCAATTTTCTAATATCCTAAAATTACTAATGCATTGGATTTTTATTTTTTTTAAAGAAAAGCTGGCACCTGTTAAACTATTCAGTTTAGAAATCTGTAACAAAAGAGGTGTCAAATGAAAGATAGATTAGCGTGGAATGAAAAGCATTTTCTTCCTGCAGAGTCTAAGTAGCAGCATTCCCAAAGTTGCACACAACACTGGATTGTGTAAGGATTATTTGTTCTGTATTCTGTATTTGTATGGGCTAGGGAGAAAAATGGAGCCTAGAGAAAATTAGCAATTTTATGCTAAACTGTATGTAAGTTATCAAGAGATTCCAGCAGAGTTTGAAAAATGCATGTATTACAGCACTGCAAATGAATAGAGTCGCTATTAGAAAGGGGTTTAGGTATCTGTGTGATTCCAGACAAAACAGAGAGGGGTGTCTAAAGCCTGGATTGCATAACTATATTTACTGCAAACCTGTGTTGGATTAAAAGCACAATCGTATACATTGAATTTAGTGAGATTTACTTCCAGGTAAGTTGCATTAGTAATATTGCTCTGTGTCTATTAAATCTGTATCTGGGGTCTGGCCTGATTTCTCTCATTTTGGGCTAGATTAAAACAATCTGTGACATGAAGACTTTCCTGAAAACAAGACACCCACTGTTATAAATTCCCTGCCCATCTGTGAAGGTTGAAAATCATGTCTAGATCAGCATATTTGAGGATCACTCATTTATTTCATTGCACACACCTATACAGCAAAATAAGCTTCATGTGCTGTAATGGTTATCTTGGATGGTTTAAATATGTTTTCCATGCTTGTTCTTACACCTAAATACATTCCAAACACAAATGCACACTTAAGATTCTTCAGCCAACACTTATCATTCACTGACAAGCTTTTCTTTTCCTACTCTAAGAGCAAAGCTTTATTCTGCCTTTCCCCATTCCCACAACCATTCACAAGAAATCTACTCATTGACCAAGACTAATCCACATTAGATATAGGCTGCATTTATTTTATTTTTTATTTTTTATTCCCCCCAGAATTGACCTTTTGTTTGAATGGACACTTTTTCCTCTTTCTATTTGAGGCGTACACCGGGGAATGCAATCAGGAGATTCCTATTGATTGTTCTGAAGCAATTTCGTGCTGGTCATGGTTGTACTGGATTTGCAATCATTCTGAAGAGAGGTGTTATTGACTGCACCTAGTAATTACCACACTCACATCTCAGCCTGCAATGTGCTCCTTGCTCAGACTGCTATAGTGAGAGGCCTTATTTTTCTAATCAGAGCCAAGGTTAGCACTGAGTATTGGAAACCAATATTCCCCAACCTTGTTTCAGATCTGGGCCTTACCTTTAACCTCAGCCTGTAACATGAGACTTGCTTATTAACCATATATGCCCATACTTTTCTCTCGTTCACATTCCGCTTCAAGAAAGTGGGCATTAATGTTACAATGGGATCTATTTTGGGTCGAGGCATCCCTAGACAAAACCTAAGATCTCGTGCATGTGCATGGCGCAAAATATATAACGTTCTCCTTTTCACAATACTAGAAAAGTTGGGTTTTCTTATGGAACGGGTTGGCAGATGATAGTCAAAAGAAAGTACTTTTTTACACAGCACATAAGTGAACTTATGGAATTTGCTGCCCCAATTTGTGGTTACCAATATAGATGGGTTTAGAAGGAAAATAGATGAATGCTAGCAATAATGGCTGTTTGGACTCTAGAGTCAATGACTATAAGCCCATTGAATTTGAGATATTGGGAAGCAAGCATAGGTGGGGTCCATGTCCATTAATTTCAATGGACCCACTCTGAGTAGGACTAGCATTTGAGACAACCCTGTGTCTTTAACAGCTTCATAGCAAGTAAAAATAATAATATAGCAGATTCAGGTAAAGGTAAAGGGACCCCTGACCATTAGGTCCAGTCACGGACAACTCTGCGGTTGCGGCACTCATCTTGCTTTATCAGCCAAGGGAGCCAGCATACAGCTTCCGGGTCATGTGGCCAGCATGACTAAGCCACTTCTGGCGAACCAGAGCAGCGCACGGAAACGCCGTTTACCTTCCCGCCGGAGTGGTACCTATTTATCTACTTGCACTTTGATTTGCTTTCCAACTGCTAGGTTGGCAGGAGCAGGGACCAAGCAATGGGAGCTCACCCCGTTGCAGGGATTTGAACCGCCAACCTTCTGATTGGCAAGCCCTAGGCTCTGTGGTTTAACCCACAGCGACACCCATGTCCCTTTTTCAGATTCAGACTAGACCACAAATTCGGATGAGAGTTCAGTACTTCTGATAGTGCACCTGAGACTTTGAACAATTCACTTGTGGTCCAAAGCATCCCTTGCTTTGGAAATCTGAAGCTTTGTATGTCTCCCCATTGACTATCATGGGAAAATGGGCTGGTAAGTTGTAAGAGAAGTCCACTCCCACCAAAACTTTGCTGGTCCCAGGTTCTCCATCTTCCCTATGTGGATTTGTGCCTGAAAGACCAACAGAAAGTATAACTGCAATGTGAAAAGATTGTAAGCACAATTTGTGACTTTATACTACCTCAGTGTCAAGCGTGTCAACTCTAGGGGGCTGAGGTGTCTTCAGCCCCCTCAATACTTGTTGGAAGTGGGTTGGGCCCCTTCAATGTTGGTGGGGCCTGGCACGCGTTTTGTGTGCACAATGTTGCACACGACACACATTGCAGCTTCAGCCCCGCCTCCTCCAGAGTGCTCAGCCTTCTACAGAGGATGCAACATCGCGCAAGTGTTGTATGTGTGATGTCACACATGCACAATGCACGCTGGGCTCCCTCAATCTTGGTGGCAACATCACACCTCTGTTCAGTACTGTTAAGGAATAAAGTCCGAGCTTCTAATTTCCTGGCTTTTGTGGAACGTGAGCCAAAATGAGATGGCCTTAACTCTGACCTTGAATGGGCAGCTTTAATCACTACACTATTCAATATCCTCTATATATCTGTAACTGGTAGAAATTTACAACAATCCCTCAAGTTCCTTGTATATACTGGAGGGGGTGGGAACCAAGTATTGTTGCTCCATAATTTATTTTAACATAGTTCTAGCAGAGCTGGCCTGTGAGGAAGGCTCCCAATATATTTTTACAGTAAGAGACTATGATTGCACCTATTGTTGCATGTGGGGAGAAGGAGAAAAATAGGTGATACTAATTAGACTGAGAGCAACAGATCAATAAGCAAGAGTTCACTGGGAATCAATTAGGAGATGAATGAACTACTATTCTAAAGTATCTGAGCTCTATTTTTCTTCAGATAGTATAGTAGCTTACCACTTTCTTTTCACCTTCAATACACATGCAACAAACTGATACACAATTCTGAGTATGGTTAATCAATTATATGGCCTTTTATGGCCTTTATATTGCAGCAACGACTGGTGTGCAGAAAGGACCAAAAATATACCAGTCTCAAAACCGCTATGGGTATTTCTCCCCAGATTTGATTTGGAAAATGTACTTGACATTTCCATGTGTATGTGCACATGTATTTCTGGATGAATGCATGCTGTCTAGTTATCAAAAAAAGGTTCCATAGTCTGCTCATTTAATTGCCTGTCTGGTGGTCAGATACCAGTCTTGTTAATCTCTACCTTTGCAGAATAATTAAGACTCTAAAAGAGACTCTTCTGTCTATGACCTAAATATATCCATATAGCTGAGTTAAAGCTCAATCAGGGCTGGCCAGGAATATATCTTCCAATACACTTGAGAGTTGGGATGGATTTCACAGGACAATCAAGGTTGTTGTTGTTTTTAATAGCGCAGAGGAAGCAACAAAATGCTGGATGATTTTGGCTACTGTTGTTACTGTAAAGTGATGAACATAACAACAATCTTTTTTTATACTTAAGCATAATGTTTGTTCTAAAATGCCGCCTGCAACCTCAGCCTAAGCAGTCTCTTCATTTAATTCATCATGCATATGAATTAAAGTGGGGGCAGTGGAGGGCTAGAAGAAGCAGAGACCCGTGACTGTATTACACACCCCTAAATGGACACTAAACATTCCCTTTGATAAAGAGTGTCTCTGAAACCCATTGGGAGCCATATGTTTTGTGCTGCTGTGGAGTTCTTGTTTTTTGGTCTTGACTTTCCTATAGCTGTTCTAGACCATGGGTAGGCAAACTAAGGCCCGGGGGCCGGATCTGGCCCGATTGCCTTCTAAATCTGGCCCGTGGATGGTCTGGGAATCAGTGTGTTTTTACATGAGCAGAATGTGCCCTTTAATTTAAAATGCATCTCTGGGTTATTTGTGGTGCCTGCCTGGTGTTTTTACATGAGTAGAATGTGTGCTTTTATTTAAAATGCATCTCTGGCTTCTTTGTGGGGCATAGGAATTCGTTCATTTTTTTTCTCTTCAAAATATAGTCCGGCCCCCCATAAGGTCTGAGGGACAGTGGACCGGCCCCCGGCTGAAAAAGTTTGCTAACCCCTGTTCTAGACCTTCTGTATTTGCATAAGAACTATTCACACTGGTCCACAAATTTGGATGTGTGAACATTTGCTGTATCTGCACATCACATTAAGCCAAACTATGGCTTAGTGTGAACATGCTGGTTCCCAGAGAGTAGGACATAGCTGCTTTACTCCTACCCGGTCTTTCTAGGTCATCCAAAGCCAGGATTGTTGTCAACATTTGTCCACCTTAACCGTCTGTAGTAAGGATTGTACTATGGTTATATGTCACAGTTAAGGAAGAGACCTAAAAGAAACCACACTGTTCTTAAAAAGCATACTACAACTACAGATTTATTAGTCATAAATCAGGACAAAGAAACATGTTGTCTCAGAGAGAACAGCGAAAAACAAAAGCAATACACAATGGAAGTTCCCAGCATACTGTGCTGGAATGTAAACAGACATGTGACACACAACAATCCCATGTCTGTTCCTTAAGGTGGAATAAAAATGTCAACAGGGAACTGTGATTTTCTCCTCGGGAGCCAGCATGCTTGCATAGTCATGGTAAGCCATAAATTCACATAGTCATGGTGAGCTCCACTGTAGGTAGGGTGCGCCAAGGAAGCAAGGACTGTGCTGTTCTATTCAATGCACTGCTGAGCTTTGAACAAGCATTCACTGAAGAGAACAGGGCACTTCCTGGTTGCATGGAGCTTGTTGTGTGCAATGAACTGATGTGGAACACTGGAACACTGTGTTTGCTCCTTAAAATGTCTAAAATCATCTTTGATTTGTGTTGACGGCACGACGCTGGGTTGGATCCATGTTTTCTCACATATGCTTGACAAATCAATGGAAAGAGGCAACAAAAGCAAATTCACAGGCCCTCCAAATGTCCCTATTTTCCAGGGGCAGTCCCAGATTTACAGAATCCGTCCTGGTTTCTAATTTGATCCCAGGTTGTCCTGCTTTTCCTTAGGATGTCCCTATTTTCATCAGATAAATGTTGGCGGGTGTGGAGTTATGCGACCCCCAAGCAAAGGAGATAAGTAACCTCACAACCTTTAGAAGACATCTGAAGGCAGCCTTGGATAAGGAAGTTTTTTTAATGTTTATTATGTTTTTATATATGTTGGAAGCCTCGCAGAGTGGTTGAGGCAATCCATTCAGATGGGTGGGGTATAGATAATGAAATGATGACAATGACGACGATTGAATAGATGTTGCTATTTTCATCAAAGAAATGTTGGAGGGTATGACTTCAGACGTGGCCAGCTTTTATTCCTCTCCCTCACAATGGACAACTTATGCATAGTCTTCCCATTCAGGAAAATGCACCTTTTAAAAAAGTATCATGTAAGATAACACAACAATTCCTAATAATCAGACCTTTGGGGAAGTGAGAGCTTTATTTACTGCACATCACACTGACAGAAGGCAGCATAGGAGGCTCTGAAAAAACCTGGATAATAAGGATATGAGAATAATCAAGATTTGAAAAACAGGAGGGGTGTTGTCGTGTCATACCACGCATCAGACACGTATAGACAGAATTTCCCTCCGCCGGTTAGACTTATAGTATAAACATCTAGCTTTAAATGATGGCCTGTGCTGTAAGCTGTAATGAGTGCTTATAGGCCTATCATAGGTTGTACATGAAACTGTGCTCATGTCATTAAAAACTCAACTAGGCAGAAAGCTCAGAATGGAGCCGTTGACAAAAGGAGAGCAGAGAGCTCTGTGGCTTATCCTTAATTAGGTGTTGGCACTGGTTCTTGTCAAACAAGAGGGAAGAAGTGTAGGCGGAAGCGCATTGGTGCAAATACACAGCGCCAGTCGCAGCTGGAGGTAATACAAAGTGCATTCAAGCTGACATCGAAAGGGATTTAGGTAGATACACATGGTAAGAAAAAAGGAGAGAGAGAGAGAGAGAGAGAGAGAGAGAGAGAGAGAGAGAACGATAGCAATGGAAGCTTTGGATGAATTGCAACCGAGTGCACCTTTACTCCAGCTTATCAGTCTCTCGACAGCAACAAACCAACTTTCCAAGTGAATTTCTCTTCTTGGTGTTCCAGATTAAAGGTCAAAGGAAGTCAGATTTATATGTCCTCTCGCTCTCCATGCAGCACACATCTTGGCCTCATTGGTATGCTAAGGATGCCATCCTCCACTCCCGGAATACAAAGGCTTTCCCCTCGTCAAAGAGCTTCTATTCCCCCCCCCCAAACAATTATTTGCTAGAAGTGGTTGCAAACAATGCGATATTAAAAGGTCACAATAGGACTTCTGGCGTAAATACACATGTGGCAATCTGCCAGACCTAATTCCTCTCGTCCCTAAGTACATTTATCTTACACAGTTATCTTATTCACTTGGCATCTTCAAGCAGCTAATATGTGGATGGGTTTATTAAGAGGCTTCCGATACATATTCTGAAACATATACAAAGGCTGTGTGTTTTCACAATGTGTGTCATCTGCACACATTTAAGCTACCAGATGGCAGTTCTTATCATGGAAACCTTGTTCGCTCACTGGCTGAATGTGTGTGTGTGTAGCAATATATCTATATATATCCTGCAAAACGAAAATGATAAGAAAAATTACCCTACATATCACAGCTTACATTACCCATCTACTTAGGCAGAAAACAGCATATGTTATACTGTTGTGGAAATTATATATATATATATATATATATATATATATATATATATGGGGGTAGGGGTGGAATGATTGCAACAATACGTAAAGCTGCAACATTAAATATATGCAAAATGAAAGAAGCTTTCGATCCAATAATGAAAGCTGATGTTTATGATGTTATTAATATAAGCAGCCTGAATCTCACATGGCAGGGGGAGCAAGATTTACATGCCATGATTGCTCCTCTCCCTTCTGTTTCCTCCCCAACCCCCTTTGTATTATTGCAAAGATGGCAAAAAATCACTTGTTTGAAAATTGAGTATATCTTATTTATAGGGGGATCTTTTCATTAGGCTCTTGGCTCCCATCGATTCAAAAGAGAACAGGTGTTCTTAGAAATCCAGTTAACATATGTGAAATCTATTTGTACGACTGTGATGGATACTGGTACGCTCATTGCAAAAGGTTGGTCAGAATTTTCAGCTCTTTTCACAAAACTAACTGGGCTACCTCCTCTCTCGCTCTCTCTCTTTTGGCCTGGAAAGATTCAATTACTTTAAGAATGTGGTGTAAACATCTGCTGATGAGCACTCTTAAGCATATTTTTGTTCAGTATAAACTCTCCCCCCCTGCCTTTCGCCTCCTCCCTTTCCAGCAGCAGAGGAGAGTTTCAAGGCGTCTTGTCTCAGCTCCAACTCATTCTGCCTCCGGCGCTGAACTGTTGGCAGGCAGCCAACCAATCTCCATTTCCCAATGAAGCTCTGATTCCATCTGCTCTAGCAGTGCAATATATTCCACTTCAGGTCAAAAGCAGGGAGCCAACAGTATTAACATTACACTAATCTGTAAAGACATTTTCACTAGCCTAGATAGGCTAATGTTACATAGAGCTTTAAAAGCTTCTAGGATAAGGAAAGGCAGTAATTGTCAGAGAAATGTACTGTATAGCAGTTGAGGGTGTATTGCAAGCTGTTGAGAAACGAACCAAACAAGGCAGAGAGTGTTAGCTGCTTGTGCAATTAAAATATTAATATGGGTGGGATGGAAATCCACGTCCCTTTTTCTCCACTTCGAGTGCTAAGAGAAAGAAATGTCAAGCAAATATACTGCCGGTGCTAAAACGGAGGAAATAAATCAGCATTATTTTCAGCGGGAGAGATGGTAGCATTTGAAAGATGCTGATAAACTGCTTTAAAAACCAAGTTAATAACCACTATTGTTTCCAGAAAGATATATACTCTTATGCATTTTGTAGATGCAGGGGACTTATAATCAATTGCTTCTGAAATATCACATCCCATATATTTGGAGTTTTACAAAGATTCTCATAAAACACTACAGCAATTCATTCCAAATTGGTTAATGCATACAATAGAAATTCAATATTTGCCATAAAAGCCAGGCCTTCTTCATTTTGCTCCTTCAGCTCATCTCTTTAAAATGTAGTTTAAGATTCATGCCTTTAGGCACATCAGAAACCATTAAGAACTACATTTCCGGAAATAAAAATGTATAAAAATTCAATTTAAATTGCCTAGATTTCTTTTCCCCCTTGTCTCCAAAGGGAAGGGTTAACCGAAAATTACCTACGTGAGGATCCATACTGTTAGATTTTTCTTTTTCTGTATGATTTGATTCAGATGTTTCAAATGAAAATAATCATGTAAGCAATTATACGTTGACTCTCCCATTAGATTATATGGAAATATAATGCTCTGAAACGGAAGATGCCGTCAACTCAGAGCTTCTGCATTTAATATGTGTGATTTATCCTAGGTACAAGGTTTGTTGATATTGGGAGCAATTTATTTCCACCTTTTGTGTAGTTTTTAATTAATATATATATATAGCTTTACAGACTTTGGCTTAATGAGTTCCCCAAAGATCTAGATTTCTGTAAATTGATGTTTTGAATGTGGGATATTATCATGTACAAGCTACAAGTCTATGTTCTTCTACAGTAGCTTTAGTAAACACTCACCACATTGGGGCTATGCCTTGTGGTATAAGCTTTTATTTCTTTCATTTGTATGTAAGTGTGTGAGCATGTACACACCAACTCACAGCACTGGGACCTAGGGATGGGAAAACCTGTAAAGTCCAGTTCTCTCGATTTCTAATTTTGTCAATCTTAAATTCAGCTCTCCACATTTCTGCAGCAATTTGCACTAAAAAAAAAAAAAAACATTGTGAAAAATTCATCATTTTGTGCGAATTTCTCTTAATAAGCAATTTTTCATAAGTAGTTCTGACTACTGTACACATTCCCCCTAAGCATTTATCCTAATATGCATTTTTATGTTATTTTCACTAATGTATTTATTTTAATGCACATTTCCCCCAAACACACACACACAAAACATTGTTTGACTGGAGAACTGCATCACAAAATTCAGATACGTGTGAATTTTGAATGATGGTTAAGTTTCGGCTCTCGTATTGTTTTGGAAAATGTGAATTTGATAAATCCTGTTTTAAGTGCAAACCAAATTGACTTCCTCCCTCATCCCTACTGGGGCCATTCCAAGTGATATAAGACTTTCTTCCTTCCTCTTGTCTGTGCATGTGCCTGTGTGTGCACACTCTCATCTATACTTATTCTACATAAGGTTTCAAATCAAATCAAGAGAAAGATGGCTTACGAGATTTTGATTTGAGTGGAAAGGTCTGCAGTAAGTTTACATAAAGAACATTGACTTCAATCCTCTCAGCCTTTCCAAATGCTTTATGGTCTAATCACTGTACTAAGAATCTGTCCCTGACAGGCAGCCTGTTCAGTCTAGCAGATAACAAATGTGGCTCGATGGCCGTTGGGCTTTGCCATTCGAAATGCACCAGAAGCAATAGTATTCCATTCCTCTGATTATACAGCCAGCCAGAAAGTGCTCACAAAGCTATAATTGCCTCGGTTATGAAACATCTTCACCTGTTATCCGAAGCTAAGTTGAATCGTTGGAAATTGGAACAGTGGCTGTTTTCATGCCAGCTTAATTTGAGCCGATACTGCTGTTCACTTAACACAGATGAATAGGTGTGTAGGATGAGATTTTAAACAGAGATGACACCCCACTGAATATTTGCTAGCAACTGCACTGCAGAAAGCCAGCTTGAAGAACAACAGACAATTGTTAAAAGCGAAAGGGGAGGGGAGGGTGGAGGTGAAAGGAGAGGAGATTGAAGTTCTGCCATGTGTATCTGTGCCCATAATAAAGTCTAAATGGGTGACAGCTTTTCGCAGCGAACTGCTTGATCCTCAGAGTGTTCGGGTGGGGCGGGGGCTAGATTGGAATGAATAGGAAATTGTACCATGGGTAGGCAATCAAAACTTAAACCCCTCTTGTCTCCCCCAAATTAGCCCCTGCAAGATCGGCAAATGCAAAGTGATTTCTGTGCATTTGCAGCGGAATGTGAAATATTACACCACATCAGACCTGACCAGCACTTCACTTCTTAGGGAGTCAGGATGGGCACTGAAATTTAATTGCCTTCTTTCATTTTCACCGCAGTGTGTTTTGCAACGAGTGTACATTTGAAACATTCTGATGTCTTGTTGACTAAATAACACACATTTCAGCATTTGACTTAGAAGTGCTGGACGTATGAAATAGATCAGGGGTCAGCAAACTTTTTCAGACCTTGTGGGGGAGGCAGACTATATTTTTTTTGGGGGGGGGGAATATGAATGAATTCCTATACCCCACAAATAACCCAGAGATGCATTTTAAATAAAAGGACACATTCTACTCATTTAAAAACACCAGGCAGGCCCCACAAATAACCCAGAGATGTATTTTCTATAAAAGGACACATTCTACTCATGTAAAAACACGCTGATTCCCAGACCGTCCGCAGGCTGGATTTAGAAGGCGATTGGGCCGGATCCGACCCCTGGGCCTCAGTTTGCCTACCCATGAAATAAATCATGCAGGTGCTGTTACCATACGGAGGAGGATAGTGTTTCAGCAGAAAAAAATAACTTCCTTGATGAGTCATTGTCCCCACCCCACCTCTGGATGTGTAATTGTGGCTTGGTGCATGTCCAGAACAGAAAAAAGGTATTGGAGAGCAGGAGAGGAGTGACTGAGAACTGGGGAAGAAACCTCTGTATCAGGGCCAGATTTAGGTTTGATGAGGCCCTAAGCCACTGAAGGTAATGGGGCCCTCTATATGTCCAGCTGTCCTTTGTCAACAACAAATTGTCATTGGGTTTTTTTGTGTTGAATATATGCTATATGGTAATCTATGGACCTAATAGGTATCTAAAGCCATTTTCAACCAGTCCATGCAGAATGTAGGCACCCTATATATAGAAATGAGAAAAGCTGTGATATTTTAGGGAGCAGCCTAGCAGGCGGGGCCCATTACTTACATCATAGGAGCCTATACAACACAAAACACTGTTGCTGTGTGTAGGTTTTATTTTATTTGTTTTTTATCTTATATTTTGGAAATTTACTTCCAGTTTTTTGGGGGCCCCCAAGTGAGTGGGGCCCTAAGCTATAGCTTGTTTAGCTTATACATAAATCTGGCACTGCTCTGTATAGATTTCATCAGACTCCACCTACTGATATAGACAGCAAGAGGCAAAATAATGATGAACTCCCATGACTGGGGGGCAGGGGAGAAAGAGCATTTGTTGAAGCCAGTGTTCTCAAACTTTTTTTTCTGAATGACACTTTGAGAATAAAATTTGCTTGCACCATAGCAATTTTCTTGTTGATAAGAAATGCATTGGAAAACATAGTTAGGATTTGCCCTCCGTATCACCTGATGCTCTTGCATTTTGAAAAGATATCTCTCCATATTCTGAAACTAAAATAATAATAATTTTGATACTGTACTAATGCTTAAAGGTTCCTTTGATTGTTCTTGAATCTTGTTGCCATCCTCTCCTGTGCTGCACTGGTGTGGAACGCCACATCCTTTGAGAACCACTGGTTGAGGCTGACATGCCAAAATGTGCACACAGAAAAATTGGATCTGACTGATCCCATCAGGAAGCATTCTAACTTTCTGCCTTTTTTCAGCAGTTGGATTTGGATTTTATACCTTTTTAATAGTAAGATCACCACCATCTCCTTCTTTAAGAGTTCCCAAAGGCAATTAAGAAGCTGGAAAGCCTTCAACTGCCTGAGGGAATACTACATCCCTGGGGGAAGCAATATCCTCACATGCCTCAGCTGGTGCTTAAGGCTGCCTCTTCCCATTAAGGTTTCCTGGCAGATGGATCCAGCCCAAGCCAATCTCAGCCACTCATGTCCTTCTGCATTTCTTATCCCACTGTCCCTTTGTTTTGTTTTGTCCTGGGATTCAATAAATATTTGCATGCCACCCACTAACAAAAGTTCTATTTGTTTCAGTTATATTTTATTAAATTTTCAGAAGTTTCACATATACACTAAAATACATAATATATTTTTCTTTTGTTTTGTTGACTTCCCACCCTGTTTTCCATGGTGTGTTTTATTTCTCCCCTTTGCTGCACCCTATCTTCTCTCTTTTATACCGTAACAACAACACACTAATCTCTAATTCCTTCTCTTGCTCATAGTTCATAACCTGCTCCAGAATTCATCATACTATAATATTTCTTTAAATATTCCGAAAAAGGCTTCCGTTCTTCCACAAAACAATCATCATTAAGTTCTCTTATTTTAGCTGTTCACTTTGCCAATTCCTGATAGTCCATCACTTTACTTATCCATTCTTCTTTGGTGGGAACTTCTTCTTCCTTCCATTTTTGTGCATAGAGAACCCTAGCTGCTGTCATTCCATCTATAAACAGCTAAATCATCTTTCTTATACTGCTAACAAAAGTTCTGTAGGTAGTTTCCGATAAAAATAAATGAAGTTGTAGCCCAAATTGTCCATGTTCACTGGACAATTGTTCACATGTTCTTCTTTTTGACAGTTTCATAAAAGCACAATCAGAATTAAAATTCACCAATAACTTGTTCACACATCACATGGAACACAGCTACAGTCTGTCCGCGAAGGAGTGTACAGTATTTGATAACTATTTTCAAAGTTGTGCTCAGGAGTGTTGCAAGAGTTCATCTGAGCCAGCTTAGAAATGAACTCCCAGGGATCTTAAAATTCACCTGAGAGGAAAGGGAAGCTTTTCTTTTCTAGCTTGCATAGATATCTGGAATGGAGAGGGGGCCCCACCTCATCACCAAATTGTCTTTCCCACATTCCCCCTTTGTTTACCTTTAACTCAGGATGGAGACTGGTTGTGGCACTGAGCAGAGAGGGCAGGGAAGAAGGAGGGTTATCATCTGTGCCAATGCCACTGTGTGGTCCTTGCAAATTGGAAAGGCAATTTGGAGATGTTGGGAGAAAGAAGGACAAGCAAGGATACAGAGTTCAGGAAAACGTTGTTACTCAATTACGGCTGAAGTGGAATAGGGGAAGGGAGCGTCTTATACTCCTTATGCAATAAGATTCAGTTGCCAGATGAGAGGGCAGAGCCAGTGCAGGTCCTGAGGGTACTTCAGTGACAAGCTGTCACCTGTAGTTCAGATCTTGGCAGCTCTTGACACTCCTTAAAAGACCAGAGAAACGGAGACCCGAACTATGTAGTGTGAATGTATGCAACGGAAGCCCGGTGGTCATTTTAGAGGGGAGGAAGTGACTGACTGTATGCTTGCTCCGTGTGTTTTTTCCCCCCAGCTCCAAATAACAGCCAGTAGTTTTTACCCATATAGGATTTCAATTGTCAATGTTCAGTAGGTAACTGCAGTTCTCAGAAGCCTATGTTTCTGAGTCTAACCTGGTAAGAGAAAGTGAGGTGATGGCTGAGCCTCATGGAGCAACATGCATGTGTTTGGATTATGTACAAATGTAACAAACACACACAAAAATATCCTGTGCTATACATTATTGGAGGGAAAATAATACCCATTCTGCAAAAATAAAGTACAGTGGTACCTCAGGTTAAGTACTTAATTCGTTCCGGAGATCTGTACTTAACCTGAAACTATTCTTAACCTGAAGCACCACTTTAGCTAATGGGGCCTCCCACTGCCGCCGTGCTGCCGGAGCCGATTTCTGTTCTCATCCTGAAGCAAAGTTCTTAACCTGAAGCACTATTTCTGGGTTAGCGGAGTCTGTAACCTGAAGCGTATGTAACCTGAAGCGTATATAACCTGAGGTACCACTGTATATAAAAACCTTCTTGATTTTCATTCTTCTTAAAAAAAACAAAAAAAAACCCTCCCCTGAAAATCCAATTTTTGCTCTTTCAGTAGCAGACTCTAGAGGCTTGAGCCAGATTGCCTGGCTATTTCTAATCAATATGTGACCTTTTGTCACCTTTCCAGCTTCTGATCATGTTATGCCTCCTCTCTATCCATTCTCTCTCTCAGCTTCTCATTTCCACAGACCTTCCCCCTGGCCTTCGCATCTTCCCAATTTTCCTCTGGACTACGTCCTCTTGAAAATCTCCTTCCTGAGGTTCTCCTACCTCCTTGTCAGGGTTCTGCATTCATTCTGGAAGAAATGAAGAACAGAATCACTGCGGCTTATTCGTTTCCATTTTGACAAATGCACTGAGGGACAAATACATTTGGTTTTCATTACCTCTTTTGTACTCATTTGTCATTTTTGGCAGAATACATTTCAGCAGTAGCCATTTTCCCTGAATGTCCCAGATGTCCCATTGTTCTGTGGGGAAGTGGTGGCTTCCAGTAGAAACTCCTCCCCCCTTTTGGTATTGTATCTCGTTTCCCCAAAATGTCCCAGAAAAACGTGCTATCCAGGAAACCATTTTGCAGTAATAACATGGAGGCTATCAGAAACAACTGGCAAGATAAGCTCTGCCTGATTCTAGGATCACAACCGCTCAGCCAAGGATAGCCATTATCCTTTTGGTGGCCCTAGAGCTGCTCATTTAATCACTGCCAGAGGCTGTACTGCCAAGGTCACAGAACTTAGGGATTTTATTGCTTTGCTTACAGACATTTAGAATCTAGTGGTTCTTGTAGCCAGACAGTACTACAGTGAAGCTGTACTGAGGGGGGAAATAACCCCAGGGAAAGTGTTATTTGAATCCTGTGGTTATGGACAACCTTTTCAATTTGGTAGTAAATGGAAGAGTGAGCTGATTGCCTGCTAGATAGGATGAATTTTTCAGGAACCAGTTCAGTTTTCAACAAAAAAACCCAGAGCATTAAAAAGGATACGGTATTTTTGGAAGAATTGCTATAGCTTGACTGATGAGCCTTGCATTCTGCTTGACTCCCATCCTCAATATTTACATGCAGCCGGACTCTCTCAGCAGTTGTGACTTCATATGGCGTTTTGAATTCCATATGGCCTGTTATGTTCCAGATTCCCCAAGATGACACCTCAAGAAGATACCAGTGGCTGGTATGATTAGTGGTGTAGCATGGACAGGGCCACAGAGGCGGTTGCCCCGGGTGCAAAATTTCAAAAGAAAAAACAAGGAAGTTGTAACAATAAATAAAAAACATTGTGCCTTCCCTCTCACACATAAAACCTCCCAATGTTCACATGGGCAGACTCAAGAGCAAATTTGGGCAATGATCAGCTGCTAGGGCACCCTCTGGCTTTAGAAAGATACCTGCTCCCAAGCAATCCCACTCTCTGCTGTGTTTGACACTCATGAGGTGGCCATGGATGCCACTTGGGTAGGTCACTGAGCTATTTCCCCTTTGTTCCAGTCTATCAGTGGGTGGTGCTGAAGATACTTGCCTTGCCCCGGTCACTGGCAACCCATGCTACACCACTGGGTACGAACCATTCTACATTCGGAAGCACATTAGCTACCACATTATAAAGGAGTATTGAGTTGTTTAATTAGTAATTATCATGGATCTGAAATCCTCCTTTATATAGGTCTGCTCATTTTATATGATAGATACATGGATGGGGAAATGTGCCCCGCCAGATGTTAGTGGATTCCACCTCCTACCTGCCTCAGCCAGCATAACCAATGGCTAGGGATTTGTAGTTCAGCAACATCTGAAGACCCACAAATCCCTCACCTGTGGCATATTGTGTCAACCACAGGATTTTTTTAAAAATATGTTGGGTACTTTCCGGCTGAGAAGGTAAAATACTACCACATTAAATAAATGTACCAATTAGGGATTGATCACTGCATTTTAAATTAATATTACAAGACTGAACGAGATAGGAGGAAATACATCTTACCTGCTTCTTATAACTCAATATCATGAGCCTTTGTTGTTGTTGTTTATGCAATTTATATACCACCCTTTTTCAAAAGATTGCAGGGTGGTGTACAACATTAGAAACATGCTGTAAATACTAAGGTGTGCTAGTGTGGTCTTGATAGCCCTAAGGCTACAATTCTGCACCCACCTATCTGGGAGTAAGCTCCACGGAACTCAGTTATGACTGTACTATCAGTGCATTGGACCAATGTGCCTCCTTGGTCCCATTTTATGTTTTTCCACTCAGTTCAAATGACCAGTGTTCATAGGCTGTATTCACACAGCAGTCCCCACCCCACCCCCATTTCCCTGATGTTTCCCTAACTGTTAATTTGCACGTTATTCAAGATTTCACATGACATAAAAACCACTTCTGGAAATCTAGTGGAATAAAGTTTTTTGTTTTTTTGTTTTTTTATTTTATTCACATAATATACATTCTTTACAACAAACAACTCCAAAACAAGCAGACAACTCCAAAATAAAATCATATGCAACAAAACCATATGTCTCATGTTTTCATTTACACTGATCTCTCCGATACCTTCACTTGATATTTCTTGCTGCTTTCTGCTTTCCTTATAGAATCTTTATAAAAATTTAAATCTCTTAAATACTATACCAATCTTTAACAATTTCAATTAATCCCGTCACCTCCCTCCCCCACAGCCCAGTATTTCCCGTGGAATAAAGTTTTTTGCTCCCTGGAAAAGTCTGTTTGCAAGCCTGATATCCACTTGCAATCCTGGAAGTTTGTATAGGACTTTGCATCAGCTGAAGCCCTGCAGTCACAGAGCCTTGCT